TGCCAATTCTAGGCATGGACTAAAGATCAGGCTTGGTGTGGACTAAAGCACTTTACTGGTGAAAATCAGCAGGACTTTTACTGACTGCATGATCTATCATGATATACTAGAATCTAGAGGAGCCCCAAACCCAATGCTGAGTGAGACTAGAGCTTAGGGGTTAGGCAAGTAAGTTTTCTGAACAGGCCAATACCACCTCTCAATGCCAGGCTTCTTCATATCCTATTCTTTCTCCCTTCCCCTCTCTTGTATTTATCTGGCCACCTCCTGTCCTTTTTTCCTCCTCAGGACTCTACTATTTATCCTTCACGAAATCCAACCATAAAAATCTACCAAATATGCACCACAGATATTTTCTACAGGCTTATCTTTGGCATAATTTTTATTTAACAACCTCTTATTTTCCTTGTTGTATCCTTTCTTGGAAGCGGAGTCTGTTTAATTATCTCCAGCACACAGGAAGTGACCTGGGTGCTGAATAAAACAAAATAATTAAGCAACAGAATTGCTATAATATTAAAGACGCTTACAAACTTTTATCTTATTTTCAATAAAATCTACACATTTTACACCTATCAACTCAGAACAGTTCATTGGGAGGGGAAAAACTACTAAAAAGTCTAACTTCAAATGAACTCAGAATTTCCTGCTAAATCATAAATATGAAAAGCAGACCATCCATGTACGCTAGAGGATCTCTTTCGGAGAAGTGTCCTACAATTTATAACATTTTACAAGTGGTGAAATCCATTAAAACTTCAAAAACTTTTAGATTGTCTTTCTCCTGTAATGTGATGGGGTATCTTCCCTAACTTGCTAAAACTGAGACCCCAGCTAGCTTTACATAATTGAAATGAGTGAATTTGTTTCTAATACACTAATACTTGATTTTAATGAATAGTCTCACACCCACAAAGTGTCTTATGTTAGCTGCCTTCGTTTGTGGCCTTTTAATAATCCACATCTAAGAATACCGAGATGCAAAAATTGCTCAGAGTCCAGATGATAGTAAGGGTAAGGTTATTTCTAGGGACGAGCATTTAGAACTGCCTGCCTGCAAGGGACAAATTTACTGCCATGGGCCTTTTACTTTGACTCAGTCCTGCAGCTCCAGAATCCATAACCAATTTCTGTCAACTGCCCATTGGACCTTTAGAGGTTCTTAGTAAGAAAATCAATGGCTCAACTGACTATTGAAAGCACGTTATCTTCTCATAGTAATTTAGTCATTTAACTAATATTACGAAATAAAGGAATAAGCACTAATAATAAGCAAATGGCCGTTTAGATTCTGGGTTTTGTGTGGTGACTTAGGTATCTTCAGCGTCATGCTTAAGAGTGTAAGGACTCTGGAATCAATTTCTAATTTTTAAATTACATTTCACCATTTGCTATCGATGTAACCCCAGAGGCAAGTTATGCACCTTTCCTTTGCCTATGTTTCTCCATCTGTAAAATACAGGTTATATTGTAAATAATCATGGTGATGTTCTGAAGAGAAAAGCTATCATAAGCGCTTAGCAAAGTGTTTGGCACATTCTAATTATGCAACAATAACAAAAATAGCTATCATTATATCCACAGCTTCAAGTTACCTCTTATAACTAATACTTCCTAATTCCTGTGGCTAAATTACAAATTTCTGTTCAAGGGAATTAAGTCCTGTGATTAGACACCTACTTTCCCTGAAGGTTTTAAAATTATCTTCAGATTCTGGCTTTGTCTTCCCAATGGCTTTCTGTTCCCTTAAATTTGTTCTCCATCTCTGCCCCCAATTATTCAGCTCTTTCCTACAGATGATTTTAAGTAGCTTTACTGCGGGTATGGTAGAAAGGGGACTTAAAGAAATCTTTAAGGCATCAAAAATAGTCTAAGTTGATCTCTAATATGAACTGAGTAGTCACGGCTCAATTTGTTACTGGAATTCAGCTTTCTTTAGTAGGAAGCCTTTTAAGGTTTTACATAAAATTATAGTGATCCCATTTGTTACTGTCAGCCTAAAGAACCATTTAAAACTTGTGGATTTTCTTGACACAGACAATTTCTACATTTTTCTGTACCTTAAGAATGTATCATGCCTAGTTTTATCAATCATGTTTTATCATTGATACTAACAGAATCAAGGGTCTGTGGTAGATTTATTTTGCTTTTGCCCATCCAGCCTCCAACATTCTGGAAAAAGAATGTTTTCATAAGGGGACCCATTACAGATGGTTTGGGTGGCACACTGAATATTTACCAGGTGAGCCTAAATACTCCTTTATTGGATTTACTTATTCCTATGCTTGTGTACTCCAAAGCAGGGATTACCAGTTTTTTCAATGAAAACAAGATGCCCTCAAAGTTCAGAGTGCTATCAATGTTGCATCCTCAAAGTCAGCTAGTGAATTTACATTACTGCCTATTATGATTCTAAATCCTGACAGCCAGACAAGGTCTGTGAGCCTCATATCTTACCAACAGCCTGGAACACTTCATGAGGATTTGTAAACATTCCTTGGACTCAGCAGTCCCTTGAGAAAATCATTTCCTCCAAAACCTGTGTCTATATTCTCTATCTTGTTTAAGCTCTCCCTCCATTCCCAAACCTAGGAATTATCTTAAATTTTCATCTAAATCCTAATTCCTTTCAAAATCCTCAATCTCTCTTCTCTTCCTACTGCTTCTGCTGTATTTCATGCCCTCATCTTAACTGGTCTGCCTCTACACCAACTCTAATTGTTCCCTTCTATCAAAGCTAAATTTGATGGTGTTTTATTGCATGTTTTATCTAACACAGAGGTAAGAATTACTATTTACAAGCTACATATCACTATCAAATGAAAACTTTTGTGCTTTTTGCAGTAAGGATTCTGAAACTTTTTTGGAGGCTGTTAAGAAAACCTAGAGGCCCCAAGAGTCATCAAATCACAAGTAGTGAATTGGCTATTATATCCAAAACCATCCAGGCAAAGTGACTACATAATTTTATAACTTAACACAACAAAAAATTTGTTCCTAGTTACCAAACACATTAAGAGTTTTCCATGCTATATGCCCATGTTATATAAAGCCTATTCACTCAACTGACAAAAGCAGCACAGAATAGTGGTTAAGAGCATGGAACAACACAGAGTCAGGCTACATGACTTTGAAATCTTTATATCACAACACATTAGTTTGAACTCTAGGTAAGCTACTTAACCAATCTCATAAGTCAGTTTCCTCATCTGTAATGTAAGAATAAAAGAATCTACCTAATAGGGTGGTAAGGAAGATTAACAAGTTAATCATAAAAATAAAATCTGAATACATATGAAACTACAAAATGAAATAAGCAAAATGAAGAAAAGCATCAGGGTGTTAAAAAATATTAATACACCAATCTAACCTCTTTAATGAAGGAGGGGAAAGTGCCTCAAGTTCAGGAAGGTTTCCCTTTTCCAGACTCAATCACTAATCTTACTTTTATCAGCAAAGTCTTTAAAAAAGAATTTAAATAGTTAAACAACATCTCTGCCAAATTAAGAAGGAATGACAAATTGAATTGACACATAATCTTTAAGCAACATAAAAATGTTTAAGGCTGGAAGTTATATTTCTTTTCAACGGACATTAAAGGTGGCCCACTAAATGGAAAAACTAAGAAAAGTCATTTGAGTTTTTAGTGAAAACATGGTCTTCAGAAAAACTGTTCTTAAAGATAGTCTTCACAATGAAGAATTCTCCTAAAAAGTTAAAATCAAACAATATGCAGAAGAAAACCTACGCAAGCCTGGTATTTTTGAGACAGTGCCATATGTATAAAGCCATAGGCATATACATAATTAAAGAAGGTAAGCCATCCAACACCACCAGATTAATTTAAGTTGTAAGATACCTGGGCAGTAGGGAAGCAGTCAGGGATAATGAACAACAACAACAAAACCCTATCTATCAAACAATCAAAATAAATGAAACAGAAAAACCTATTAACAAAACCTAAAAACAAGCTGGACTTAATAGCTTGCATTTCAAAACTAAGGCCATGGATAGTGGCGAAAACAAAGTAAATACCAAACATAAATGCCAGATCAAAATAATTTTCAATAAAAGATGAACGACAAAAAAACCTGTTAATGTTCAAATAGATAATTTAAAAGTACCTGACTTAAAAAAAATAATTTACAGAGTACATACCCATATATCCTAAAAGGGACACCAGCCCTCATAAATGAGCTTTTAAGAATTTACTTACTGTGAGTATATACATGACATAAATTATCAGGCTGAGGAATAACTGATTAAAAAAAAAAATAGGGAGTTTGGAGAGGGGAAATAACTCAAAGTCCCTTTAAAATATTTGCAAGAACTCTTTGAAGTTTCTCTTCACTTTGATGGTTGAATAATTTTCTGAAGAAAATTCTTAATTAAATCCTTGTAAAAATATATAAATTAGAATAAAGTAAAATCATTACAGTCCTTTGCCAGTATAGTTACACCAAGAAGTTACATCTTCAACCTATAAACATTTGTTGATTCCTAATCATAATTGTTTATAAATTACTGGCATAAATTATTACCAAAAAGGACAAGTCTTAAGACCTTGAAGAGTTCCACTAAAAACAGATGGTAAAAATAAAATGTTCTATTTTATTTAATAGTATTATACAAAGGTTAATTTCTTAACTTTTATAAATGTTCTATGATAACGTATGATTATAACATTAAGAGAAGATTAATATAAGATATAAAGAACTCTTGTATTATATTTTTACCACTTTTCTGTAAACCTAAAACTAGGTCGAAGTAAGAGGTTAAAAAAAGGCTCAGTTTATTAGGACTTTACTTCCTTTATACTAGTAAATGTGCTATGAAAGAAAAATAGCATTTTAGGTTTCCCATGTTTAGTCACCAAGCATACATATAATACACCTAACTTTGACTGCTTTGCTGCAGTAAATTATTTTTAATGCTAAAAAAAAAAGCAAATTTCTAGAGAAACAAATCAATAAGCTTTTTTTATTAACTTTTTTGACAAACTGAGAGTAAAACATATGCTACCTAATGATACAACTGTGTCCCTTTAAGTCTAAGATAAATATCATTCAGATTTTTATCTGGACAAGAAATTCAAAGGCTCCTTAAGAAGAAAGAAATGAAATACCATGGTCACTAATGTAACCAGACTAAATATAAAAGCCGTGTGTGTGTGTGTGTGTATATAAAAATCAATGTTTTGATCAATGCAACTAATCTGAGGTTACAATAACTCACTGCTTTAAATAATATTTCAATTACATGTAAAGATTAAGATACTGTTTAGGGGAAAACAGCCTCAGAAAGAAGTATTAACAAAAAGGCATATTAATCATTACCTTTAATCAAACTAAGTATCAACCTTTCCCCTAACCCATAAAGACTTCATGTCTCTAAATGGTTCCTAAATCATGGAAGATAACTTGAAAAATTTTAAACACATCTCAAGGTATTAGATGCTTATGTACTCCATGTGGATCCAACTTTTACTGCCCATATTTCTTGTCATGGTAGTGTAATGTCATGAAAGTCTGGTTGCCAGATCTTTTTGTTTTTATTTGTAACAGAGCTAAACCTTTTAACAATTATATTAACTACATCTAAGTTATTTGCTAATGGTAGTAGAATGATATATATGCTTTATTAACGAATATAGTACTTCTACAAATTTTTCTTTAAGAATCCCATAAATACCAAGGAAAAGAAAAGATTCAAGGGGTTTGGGAAATAAACCCCCTTTAATTTTAAATCTACATAAGTTTAATTTATCCCCAAACTTTCTAAGTTCTTCCAGAGTTCCGGCCTTCAGAATATTTCCTAATTTTTCTTCTTGAGCTCTGCACTGCCTCAAACATATCCAAACGATCTAATTCTGTGTTACCTATATTTAATATAAATAAAGTACAATATATAATCAACACTGTATCACTAGAATTGTGAAGCTCTTCATGACTTAAAAAAAAACTCCAAAAGAATTAAGCTATTTTATTTAACATGTAATAGTCATAAAGCAACTCTATATATTTAGTTTTCTGATATCCTAATGTATTTCCACAAACCTTTTAAGTCTACAATTTTATATAGTTTTCCATCAGGGAGGCAAGGTATATATAATTTCTTTTTATATTTAACTAAAGGTTTTAAGAGGGCTTAGTCTCTAAATCAGTAACAATCAGTCATAACACCATACAAACACATTTAAATATTCAGGAAAGAGGTTTTTAAGATTATTGCTTAGTCTTATAAAATGGTAAATTGTAACCAAATTGGTATCTCTGTATTCTTATTTATGTTTCCTATACTCTTACATCATACTGCTTGGCAAGTAATGTAAGTTTTGACATAATTTAAAAATTCAAGTAGTTGTAAACAAATTCTAATTTGTTAAACAATTCATATATTCCCCTTTATTTACTATACTCAGAATTAATACTCCTTAAAAAAGTAATCATCCCACATAGAAAAAAACTGCAGAGCTTCATCTCTTCCTTAAATATTTTCAAGTACTGTAAGAACACAAATCCATGAAAAAACTGACTAAAATTTGATATTTCATCTTGCTTTACTAATTATGGAATAATACGAAGACATAAAAAAAAAGTTCCTTAATATTTCTCTGCTTAACAAAGAAATACAAAGAAATACTGCAATTATGGTTATGGGCTATTTTCCAGCCTCTTCAAGTAAAGGACACAACTATGGTTCCTACCAGTAAGGAGAAATGAATAATCAATCAATCTTACATAACACAAAAGAAAGATGAGAGGCACAAAAAGACAAACTGACTTTGGCTTTTAAGAACTTAATGTTAACCCTGAAATGCCACATTCAATAACACAACAACAAAACAAAAGATTACAGCAGCAAGCCACCACTTCACACAGTATTAAGAATTCTGAAATATGTAATAGCCTTCCTCCCATCTCCCATTCAATCTGTTGTGTCATCTTTTTGTTTTTCCTGCTTTTTAGCTGCAGGCAGTTCAAGGCTTGCCCACTGCATTGGTTCCGCTTTTCTCATATTGATTTCAATCTTTGTTGCAGTCATAGTTACATAACTTCGCTTTACATCAATCACCTGTAACATATCAAAGAGAATTACAGGAAACTTCGGTGGTTTTATTCGTCTCAGGGGAAAACATCAGACTTGCTTATGCCAATAATCTCAAATCCAAGCTTCTAAAGGCTTCTTTTATATCTAGACTTAAACTTTTTGGTAGGATACACTTTTAAGTTATGGATCTATACTTTGCATCAATGTTTACTACAGCACTGTCTTTTATTCTACAAATGATCTCTTAAGTTATCAGAAAAAAATTATTATAAATTTGTAATACTTACACCCCATAATTTCACATTTTGATCAAATTCCTTCTCTCCTTCAAATACAATGTGCACATTTAACTGAAAAAGATATACACAGTTAATTGATCAAATTCAAACTGAAGATTTATGGTATCAAACACTGATTATAAAAATAAGACTGACAAAAATGAATTAAACTATTTTAAGAAACTGCCAATACTGTATTGTTTCATATGAGAAAAGCCGCTGACAAAAAAGAGTAATTGGCTTCAAGTTTCACACTGATAACTAAGTACTATATTACTTGATAAATCTACTACAGTATCTCCAGAATGGTTCAGCAGTAACTCTATTATGCAGAAATCTTCATTTAAAATAGTTTCATAGATTTAATTTTTTTTAATGGGAGTCATTATAAAATCTTACCCACAAATCAGCTGAGATATAAACAATACTTCAAAATATAGTAACATAAAGAAGGATGTATAGAAAAGAATTTTTACTCAAAATTTTTAGATGTACTTACCAATGTGCTATTTGCTTCTACTCGACTAAGTTCTGGAAGTGAATTTTTAGCATATACTGAAATGGTAACTTCACCTCCGGTCTGATGCCAGTCATGTCTACATGGAACAACTTTTTTACCCTGTAATATAAGAGAAACTTTGTAAGTTAAAAAAGTGCCACATAATTTCTTAAAAAGAGGAATTTGACCCATCTAACTGAGAAAAAAACTACCATGCACAACTAAGCACTTATCTTTAAGGACAAAAAAATTCTACATTTCCCAAGAGGCTTAAACAACAAAATATATCATGATACAAAGATTCTTCATAAATTTTATGATTTGAGAACACACTTATTCCTTCCCTTTGTTTTTCTCTTTTAGGACCATTAATATTGATGCACATTTAAAAAGACAACTTAAGAACTCCTACTTCATTTAATCCAATTTTAACATTCTGTAACCTACTAAGTACTGTCATCAAAACATTCTTTGAAGACTGAAATGAAAGACATTTGTTTACTGGGATAAATCAGATAACACCTTAACCTCATGCACTAGAAACCTTATTTATTTTCTACAAATCAAAACCTAGGAAAAAAAAATCTGACCAGTTATTACTTTCTTCCCATTTTAATAAAGAACAAATGATTTTTGGATTTTTCTGATTATGAAAATAATCCTTACATAACAGTAGTATACCGCCCTACCAGTATTTTTTTTTTATAGAGGCAAATGGTGATTTGTTATATAAACAAGAACAATTTAGTTACATAATTCAGCAAACTCTGAGACACTACTCTTGTAAACGGTACTATTTTCGTTTTGATAAAATTACATTAACTAAATTTCAATTATATATATCACTCACATTTTTGCCCTTAGCTACTAACTTACTTAAAACTTGCATACATTAAAAAACAAGAAAAATTACATCATTTTATCTAGGATTATACTTCCAAACTTAACATAAGAGAAAACAGTATTTTACTTTCTCAAACTTAAATTTTCAAACTTTTGGACTAATACAGATTCCCTCACTTTTTACTTAAAAACATTTCTGATAGTTTTGTGGTAGATGAACTTTTATAACTTCAGGGTATTTTCATAATATCCAACCATGTGTTATTAAAAAGCAGCAACTAGGGCCGGGTGCAGTGGCTCATGCCTATAATCTCAGCACTTTAGGACTAGGCCAAGGTGGGTGGATCACGAGGTCAAGAGTCCAAGATCAGCCTAGGCAAGATGGTGAAAATCCGTCTCTATAAAAAATACAAAAATTAGCCTGGCATGGTGGTGCGTGCCTGTAGTCCCAGCTACTGGGGAGGCTGGGGCAGGAGAACTGCTTGAACCTGGGAGGCAGAGATTGCAGTGAGCCTGCACTGCACTCCAGCCTGAGGAACAGAGTGAGACTCTGACTCAAGAAAACAAAAGGGCAGGGAGGGGCAGCAACTACAGAATACTCAAATATAGAAATCTCTAAATTAATTTGAAAATTTAATACATTATAAAATACATTAATAGCTAAAAGACAAAAACTTACTGAGCAATAAGTTGCTCATCCTCTTACAACTTAATGGGGTTTTGGGAAATTATTTGCATAGCCCCGAAGTCTTTTTAAAAAGGTCTCCAGGGAAGTAGGAAATGATGCTTTTTTCCCCCATTTTTGATAAATATCCCATTAGCAAGCAGAGGCATTCAGAATTCCACTGAAGCAAGACTGTAATCCTCCTCTCTGGCCACTAGATGGAGAATTTGTGCATCTATAAATGATTGAAGTTTTAAGTGGCCAAAAGAATAATCAGGTCTAAATGTTTTAACATCACCAAATTCATAGAAAAGTAATTTTTAAAAAACAAAAAGCAGGAAGAGGCCATGGAGCTGATTTTATTAATTAAAAAAGACAAAAATGCTTCAATTTTGTCAGGCTTAAATATTTCACAAAACCCCACAAGCTTGCATCAAAACAGACGATGGCTATTTTGCTCAAAAGGCAGTGCACTGGCAGCCTCACTCATATTCATTTTATTTTGTAGTCATATCAAAGCTCTATGGTGAAAAAAGAATACTTTTAAAAAAAAATCTAAAGACAGAATAATTTAAAATCTTTAAAAAATGACTCAGATGAATATAAACCCAGTGTGCTATTTTTGGAAGAGTTATGTTACTTACAGCATCTTTTTTAGTCCACATGTGTCTCCCTTTTGTACAGCCCTCCTGGGCTAAGAATGTATTAAAATCAGAAGTTTTTCTTCTACAACAGCTCCAGTATTTCATCCTTTAAATTATCACAGAAAAACTTCAGAAATAAAATCTCACAACCAATTAAATCCAGAAGTATTTTAGGGATAAATCTGATTTTTAAGAAGTCAGTTAAGTATACAACTCCAGTATTTTACAAGTGTCTAAGTTACTAAACAGCTAAAAATGAATGGACAGTATATCAGGAAGACTGTATTTTAAAACCAGGTTGCCATTTATTATAGTAATCTTGGCGTTCCTGAGTAGACACTTACAGAAATGATACCTGAAACACTTAGTCTTCCTGAATAAAGTCACTTAAAATCATCACCTATTCCAAATCCATTTTTCACTGACGGCTGACACTCCATTTTTTCTTGTGAAGCTACCAAAAACTTGTATGACCGAAGATTTATAATCTATTTCAATAAACCAATATAAACAAATTAAAAATGAATGATTATACAACAAATCCCAAAGTAGGTGAAACCTACTTATTGTTTACTTGAGATAAATCAAAAACAGGAAGTCAAATATCATGGCAAAACTTCAGGTTTCAAGTCCTGAAGAATGTGGAAACAGAGTGGAAGATGTTTACATAGTGCTGCATTTCTGTAAACTAGAGCATAATATAGAAGAGAGGCTCTCAACTGCAGGACGTGGAAAAGTATGGGTCTTCTTGGGATAATGGTGTCTTAGTGCCCCAGGGCCCAAATTTCTAAATGCCCTGCAGTGTGTAGGACGGTCCTTCAAACAAAACATTTACCCCAAATAGACAGCATCACTTTTAAATACAGGATATAAAGAGAAACAGGTGGTTTATATCATAATGACCACTTAAGAACTGCAACCTTGTTTCTGTTTTCTCATGTATAAACATACAACATACAAACCCCTGTGTTTGTGTAGGCTATTGTGAAGATGTTAATGACAATGTAAGTAAAATGCCTAATAACACTGCATGGCAAACAATGTTTAAAGACAGAAAGGTTTAACTTTTTAAACTCTACCATAAAGTATTTTAGTAAGTCATGCATAAGTTACCCCTCATGGAAAATAGGTACTCCAGAATGATATACACAGACTTCTTCTAGACTCTCTAGACCCCGATATGTCTAAAAATGAAACAAAGAGGAAAAAAATTAGCTGTGCATCTCACAGTTACATATCATACATATTGCAGTACTGTTGACCTCTATGAACTTTGCAAAATACTTAAATGACAATTACCTAGAAAATTCATAAATCCATCCCACGCCATTCTGTTAAAAAATGAAAAATGATTCCCTTTTGGACTTGGTTAAGTTTTAGGTCCCTGTGAGAAAGTCATATTAAGATACTTTCAGCCTTTTAAGTATGAGATCCCATCCAATCATATTCAAGTACTTACTTAGTACTAATTTAGAAAACAATGTTGAAACCAAGGGATTAATACTCTCAATAGAAATACAGTTATGGCATGACTTATGTGTATAGTAAACTCCATGTAGGTATTATCAAATAATATGAGAAATCTAATAAGCAATTCTGGAAGTTCTAGAGTGATGGTGATTTCTTATCCCTATAAAGGGTAAAATGAGCTGCAGACCTATATATATATCCAGGGTTTGTCTGGAAGATCCGGGCCCCATTGCTGCTGTAGATGGAGGCTCTACAGATGAATTCACAAAAAATTATGTTAATAAAACATGGATGTAGCCAGTAGTATATTTTCTATTTTTAGCACTACCTACAAACAGAAAATTCTGTGTTTATCTTTTATAAATCCAAAGTACAGTACTAGATGTGTATATCTCCTTATTTCACAAGAACACAAAACTTGGTATGTTAGCATCTACTAAACTTAATGTTACTGCCCCCACATTCTATTCTTTTCCCCATATTATTTGATGGCACCATACAGACTCAGTTTGTCAAAGCAAAATCCATTAGTTCCTTTTCAGCATCTCCTCTCCCTCCACCCATAGGTAGTCTATAATGAAATCTCATCAATTTGACTTGAATATATCAATTTGTTGATCTTCCTCATAAGCTTGCAGACTTTAAGCAGACTACACTAACAAGTTTCTACTATTTCTCAGTCTTTGATTTCTATTTTCTACTAATTATCAAATTACTATCACCCTCTTGTTTAAAGTTCTTTACATCCATGTCACACCTTATACATTAATCAGTTCTAGGTCATTTACATATTTAAATGTGCCTCCATATGAGAAAACACTCACAGCCCTGAAGTAAGCAATGGTTTCTTAAATAGAACATAGAAAGCACTAGTCATAAAGAAAATGATGGACAAATTGGATTTTGTTAAAATTAAAAAGCCTGTGTTTATCAAAGTCATCATTAAGACAGTGAAAAAGCACAGAATTTCTGACAAGAGTCACAGATAAAATACATAAAGAATTCCTACAAATTGGTAGGAAAGAGACATTAGAGAGACAAGTAAAAGATTCTGCACACTTCACAAGAGGATATACAAATGGCTAATAAACATACATAAAAGCAGTCATGATGAAGGAAGTACAAATCAAAACCATGATGAAAACACTACACACACTAGAATGGTTAAAATACAAAAAAAAAATGGTACAACAAAATGTTAACAAACTGTAGGACAACTTGAATCAGCCTCACATACTGCTGGTAGAAATACAACCACTTTGGAAAACTATGTGGAAGTATCTGTTAATGCTAGAGATATACAGATGGGCATACCTAATCCAAAATCTGTTAACTTTTTGAGAGCCAACATGACAATTAAAGAAAATACTCATGGAGCATTTCAGATTAGGGATGCTGAACTAATTGATAAGTATAATGCACATACGCCAAAATTTTTTTAAAAATCCAAAATACTAGAAATGGAAATGTGTATATGTGTCATAAAAGTCATGCACAAGAATGTTCATAATATGGTGGGTGCGGTGGCTTCACGCCTGTAATCCCAGCACTTTGGGAGGTCAAGGTGGGTGGATCACCTGAGGTTCAGGAGTTTGAGACCAGCCTGGCCAACATGGTGAAACCTTGTCTCTAGTAAAAATACAAAAATTAGTCAGGCGTGGTGGGGGGCGCCTGTAAACCCAGCTAGCTACTCAGGAGGCTGAAGCAGAAGAATTGCTTGAACCTGGGAGGTGGAGGTTGCAGTGAGCCGAGATCCTACCATTGCACTCCAGGGTGGGTGACAAGAGCGAAACTCCATCTCAAAAAGAATGTTCATAATAGCATTATTAAAAAATTTTTTTTAAATTAAAGGACAAATAAAGTAGAAATTATTTGTGGCACATTCAAATAATGACATACTTTAAAGAAATACAAAGACAAAACCGTAACTACATGCAACAAAGATAAATAAAACAAGCATTATTACACAGAAGAAGACAAACACGAGTACATATTCTATGGTTATTTTTACATTAAACTCTGAAACAGAAAAAAACCTATGTTGATTGACAGAAAAACATTTGAGGGAGATAATGAATGAGAAAACACATAAGGAGTGCTCTACACTGCTGGTGTGTTTAACTTTGTGAAAATCCCTTCAGCTATAAATTTATATTGGTATATCCTTTAACAAACTTCAATGCTATGTTTCAATGAAAAAGACTAAAAATTTCTTCAATTTCAATGGCCTCCACAATCTAACGTACGATCTAACTTCCCTGCACCACTAAACCCTTTTAGGATCTGGCCAGGTCTACTTATCTCTATTAATCTCAACTCCACAGCAGCAAATTTGTACCATTACATCATTTTCTCTATACTTCTGCTATTACTTATGCTTGAAATACCCTTTCTCTGTTTTTCCTGTCATTCACTTTTCAAAACGCATCTGATACCTTCTCCTTGATCTTCCTCTATTACCCTACCATTTGCATTGCCTTCCCCACTCCAGTAATTAATTCTCTTTTATCTACTACTTCTACCTCATACACATGTAAATACAATTATATCTCCATTCCTTAAATGATCTAAAATTTAACATGAGGAAAAAGTACAAACCTGCCCCCACCCCATTTTCACCTTGTTGGTCAATGGTGTCACCAATCACCCAGATGCTTGAATTCCCTTCACATCAAATCCATTAGCAAATCCTGCTAATACAGGCAGATGCTCCTTTGCTTACAACGTGGTTATAGCCTGATAATACCATTGTTAAGTCAAAAAAACCTTAAATTACACCATGGTAAGTTGGGAACCACCTGTACTTTATATTCTATCTTTCATTCTACATGCACTGTTCTAAGCACTGAAGATACAAGAACAACAAAAATCCCTATCCTCACAACTTTTACTCAGCAGGGGGGTTAGATGATATAGATCAGAAGCAAAATAAGTATGCAAAATAATATAAAGTCATAAAAGCAATGGAGAAAAAAGGAAAGGGAGAAGAAATACTGGAGGATATGCAAGTTTTATATCAAGTAGCAAGAGGTAGGAAAAGGCCTTACTGGTATGTTCGACTGCATCCCACATTTAATCACTTCTCAACAAACTACTCTCCAATCACATTATCTGGTCTTCCATAATAGCATCCTAGCTGGTTTCTCTTCTTCCAGTTCCACTCCTGCTCCCTCACTACATATTTACCATTCACCAGTCACAGAATCTTTTTAAAACCCTTCCGTAAAGGAAGTAATAGCTTCTCATAATACTTAGAATAAAGCCCAAATACCTCATCCTGGCTCAAAAGAACCACCATAATTTTGTCTCTCTCTCTCACCTGCTATCCTTGCCCAAGCTCTACAGACCTTGTTATTCCTTGAATAGCCAAGTTCTAAAGCCTCTGCTCATGCTACTGCATCCAAAACACTTCACCCAGGTTGACATAATCCATCCAGTACAATATGAAGATTTCTGATTTAGTGTTACTATCTCAAGAAGGGCTAAGCACTCGTTAGTATGTTTTCTTATCATCCTGATTTTGTAATATCTACCTAACTATTTGTTGCTCTTCTCCCCATTCTAGAATATCAGCTCCATAAGAACAGAAATGTTTGCTTTATTTGATACTATGTCTCCAGCCCATAAAATGTCTGGCACATAATAAGTGCTCAGTAAATGTTAAGTAAATTGGAATTACTTATTTTCATTATTCTACTGGACATGATGCTACTCAGTCTCTTATCCATGATTGTAGCCCTAGTCCCCAGCATAATGTCCAATATATAACATGCATCCAAATGTTTGAATTGAGTCAGTGAACTGCACTTTTCTCAAAATTAAAATTTTACTTCATAACACATCACGAATCTTGTAATACATACCTTTGAACACCCTCCATTCTTACATGAGGTCCCAATCTTAATTTCATCATTGTCTTCTTCTGAAACAAAGAAAAAAAAATCAAGTTTAAAAGTTAAAATAGAACTTCACTGTGGCATCATTCTTAAAAAGTAGGTTTTCCCAGAAAACAACACTTTTTAAAAAATGACTGACTAGGTTTTGCTTATATCCCCAAAATGATATATGACACATTTCTTCTTCTTATTTTCTTTTGAGGACCTGGTGTCTTCGACAATGCAGGAAACAACTTTTTCCATAACAAAATGTTATATCCAATATTTTAACTTTGTAAAATAAATCATGAAAGGGTGTTTTCCTCCCATGGTACCAGGTATAAAGTCAGAGAATAGTGAATACATTTTGTATAATGTACAAGAAAACATTTTAAAATATCAAAGAAATTTAGCTGATTCTTAAAAAAATAATGAACCTGAGAGGCCTGAGAGGCCGAGACGGGCGGATCACGAGGTCAGGAGATGGAGACCATCCTGGCTAACACGGTGAAACCCCGTCTCTACTAAAAAATACAAAAAAGTAGCCGGGCGAGGTGGCGGGCGCCTGTGGTCCCAGCTACTCGGGAGGATGAGGCAGGAGAATGGCGTAAACCCGGGAGGCGGAGCTTGCAGTGAGCTGAGATCCGGTCACTGCACTCCAGCCTGGGCGGCAGAGTGAGACTGTCTCAAAAAAAAAAAAAAAAAAAAAAAAATGAACCATAAAAGAAAAAAAATTTAATATAGGTTCTCATTTTGAATAAAGACATGGAATTAAAATATTAGGCGTATTTGTAGTTTTTCATATCTGACATTTAGAAGAAAAAAAGTTTCTTAACTACAATTTGCTACTTTTCCAAACTATTTATATGCAGTAAACTACTGTTCTCTCTTTTGGATAACTGCTTAACTGCACCATAAAATAATTACAATAAAACAAAATAAAATCTTACCTTTTTTATCTTCTTCATTCCCTGATGACAGTTTAAGTTTATCAAGTGCTTGTTTTAGGGAGGCAGATATTTTTAATTCCAAATTTGTCATTGGTTCATCTGGGCTGGAGAATTTTGAAACCTTATTACCATTATTTATATACCAAAATATTTCTTTGTACTCCAAATTAAAAACCTTAAAAGTTTTTTGAGAAACCAAATGCTTTGGGAATCAAATGATTCCCATTAAAAAGTTAAAAGAAGGTGTTTTATAAATAATTGTTACAATGTATCTACATTCTGTCTTAACAGAAAAGCTCCTTATATTAGAATAGCAAGCCTCAAATAATCATGCTATTGTCAGCATATTTAATTATTAATCAGTTGCACTAACGAGAAGGGAATAAAGACTAGGAATTCAACTTTTTCAAGATGAGTAATGCTGAGGAAGGGACCATAATGTACTTTTACATCCCATGCCCAAGCAAATGCTGAGCACATAATGAACATGAAATATAAGTAAGTTCTAAGTGAATCCATACTCACTTCTACCAGTGGGGATAATTTATGTGGACACTGGCATATGGATCTGTAAATTCAGATATAATCGTATTGCAAGGCAATTTCAGTAGGGTTAAAAAAACATCTAATATTTCATAATGGCTAAGTGTTGTATACACAATTTATTTAAGTACATTCAATAAATAAGTAGTAATAATATTAATAAACACAGCAACAAAAACAAAAATTGCAGGCTATTTGTTCTATATCCACAATGAAAAATCTGACGAAAGAGGCATTTTAAAAGTACATAGGCAAGGCATGGTCACTTATGCCCGTAATCCCAACACTTTTGGGAGGTTGAGACAAGAGGACTGCTTGAAGCCTGGGCAACAAAGAACCCTGTCTAGCAAAAAATAGAAAATATTAGTCAGTCACTGATACGGTTTCCCTGTGCCCCCACCCAAATCTCATCTCAAATTCTAGCTCCCATAATCCCCACAAGGTGTGTGAGGGAGCTGGTGGGAGGTAACTGAATCATGGGGATGCATTTTTCACACGCTGTTCTCATGATAGCGAATACGTCTCAGAAGATCTGATGGTTTTTTCTTGCCTGCCACCATGTAAAACATTGCTTTATTACTCCGTCTGCCTTCTGCCATGATTGTGAGGCCTCCTCAGCCATATGGAACTGTGAGGCCATTAAACCTCTTTTTCTTTATAAGTCACTTAGTCTTGAGTGTTTCTTCCTAACAGTGTGAATATAGTAATAGTAGCATACACCTATAGTTCCAGGGAGGGGTAGGCAGGAGGATGGCTTGAGCCCAGGAGTTCAAGGCTGCAGTGAGCTATAATGCCACTGCATTACAGCCTGGGTAAGAGAGGGACTGTTCCTCTAAAAAAAAAAAAAAAAAGTATGTAAAAACCTACATCCTCATAATTTGTGTAATACCACTAAATGAATTTAGGATAAAATATTTAATTTTTCTTACCTCATTGCCTTTTTTCTTTTCCTTTTTTAAAGAGTCAATCTCAAGATCCTCCTGCCTCAGCCTGAGTAGCTGCAACTACATGAGCACACCACTAAACCCCGCTAATTTTTTTTTTTCTTGGAGAGATAGGATCTGGTTCAGATTGGTCTCAAACTCCTGGGCTCAAAGGAACCTCCCTCCTGGGCTTCTCAAAGTGCTGGATTATGAGCTTGAGCCACAGTGCCTGCCTCTTACTGCCCTTTAGTAAAATAATGGCTCAACATTTAAAGAAAAAATTAACTCATACTATTACAGTATAGACTCTATTATATTACTAAAGAGATTAACAATGAGCCATGACGGAAGTTTTGTCTTTTCCCAATTATTTTTCTAACTGCTAAATTGGCCAACAAGGCATTCAATGGTTTCTTCTAACTATGAAGATGGAGAGAGAATAAAATCATCCTGAGTAGTTTCCTTAGCAATAATCTGTACTCAGAGTGTAATGAACAAATAAGCACCTAAAGTTTCTTAGGGTTCTTGTCTTGGTTCTATATTATTCAATACTCTATAAATTTATTTAAGTAGGATCAATGGAGAATAAAGGGAAAATCCTGAGTTCATAGCATGAATAAAAATTGCAATAGATGCCTACTTGCAGCCAAAAAAAAAATTCATTTTTTTTTAAGTTCTGAAGTTTTCTTCTAAAACAATTTAGCACTCAAGTGTAGCATGAAGAAGACCTGGTTCAACAAAGGTACTCAATATACATGCATGGGAATACAGAGTCTGGTTATCGGAAGGCAAGTATGAAGAATCTGTACAATTCTATTGCACAATGAGCAAAAGTTTTTTTAAGACTTTCACAAATATGTCACCTAAATCAAATGCATTAAAAATTGACCAGTAGTAATGAGATTAACAGTAGTTTTCAGGGATCTGAAAGTAAAGATGGATGATTAGGCCTCTGCATTATTTTCTACTTCAAACAGATTCCATGACACGGAAAACTGCGTCAAAGAATTTTACCATGCCACAGTGAAAAAGATGCACAAGAAAAATGTGTGACTTCCCCACCCTGATGATACATGTCCCTGTAATTATGACAATACAATATGCAAATCTGTTATGTGGTTGTATTGTGTACATGCTCTCAAGTTGAAGAGATATAAAAATTTAAGGCAGATTTAAGGGAGAAACCAAATGGTTCAAAGCTTGGTGGCCTACATAGTAGCTACAAATGGTATCATGCTAAATCATAATGGAAAGTACCATGCACAAGTGCTACTATTGAAGTGTGACAAAAATATGTAACTATATAAAGTATACCTTGGTCTTTTTATTGCTTCTACTGGCTTAGGGGCTTGAATGATGTGTTCCTGAAATTTAGGTTTTAATTCAGATAGTTCCTTCTTCTCAGTAGTCTTGACTTCAGGTTTGACTGGCTCAGGTGGCTTCTCACTATTATGTCTACCTTTTGTACAGCCCTGTTAATGAAAGATATTCATTAAGAGCTATATATTTTACATTTCATGATAGAAACACTATCTTTTCGATTCTTTATGGATTCTACTTCATGTTTTCTCCAGTTTCATTACATTGATTTTAAGAAATTAAAAATAGAATTCCAAATGTGCTATATTTGCTCAATCTCTGAATGCTTTTTAAAAAAGTTTTTGAATTACACTTCATAAACATCTACTTATTCGATTAAAAATATAGCATAAACTTCTTGTTTACAGAGGAATTCTGGAGAATCTCACAAAGAACTGTAAAAAATAGTTTCACATAAAAATCTGTTACTCAAAAAGGTCTCAATTTGAGACCTAGTTCTCAACATACTTATTAGTTACATGACCTTAAGCATGACAATCTTTTTAAACCTCCATTTCCTCATTTGTAAAATGGAGGTAATCTTGGGTAAGATATTTTCTGAAAGGGTTAAATAATATAATGCCTGGCACATTTGGCAGGTGATAACCTTCAACAAATGTTAGTTACTTTTCTACTACATTCTACTGAATTATATATACTCTTTAACACCTCTGAAATAATACAATCAATAGCATTATCAGTTTGTTAGTAGCTTTAGTTTTCTTAGTGGTATATAAAATGGTTTTATATAAAAGTGATATATAAAATATTTCAACAGTATCTTAGATAAAACTTTATCATTCCTAACTGAAAAGGCTTTAAATTGTTGCTTACCACTTTATCCTTCTTGATGTTCTTTCAACATAACAGAAAGAACAAATCTAAAATGATAAGCAGGTAACTAATATCTTAAAACGTTAACTTCCAAAACAGATTCTTTATTTTACAAGCTGTGGAAGGGAGATGAGCTGCTTTTTAAAAGGTGTTATCTGCAAGTTGATGAAGACACCAATCAATCTGTATCAGAAATCAGACTCCTCAAATCTGAAGCTTTCTGTAACATGTGTTTTTAGGAAGATAATCTAGAAAAAAAAATTAGTACTTACTACAATGCTTAAGAAATCAGAAAAATCAGTTGTTCTTCTCTTACAGCAAGACCAACCCTATGGAAAACAAGAGAAAGAAATTAAAAACTCTATTTGCATGGGAACCACGACCCACTAAAACACTCTACTTACACTTATCTACTTGAATCCTGCAGTAACTTGCGTATACATAGAGTGTAAAATTTCAGTGTTGCATATAATTCACCTAATCAAGTAAAATGAATATTAATCTTTGATTTTTAAAAAACCAATTAACCAATGTTAAAGTGATTTGCGTTGTGCCCTATCATCAAGGGAAGCACCTTTATAAAACAAAAACGGCTTTTCTTTTCAACAATCGGGTCTGCTTATTAGAAGAAAAACACATTATAATTCCTAAAACTATCACATAAAGAATATTCAAAATAAGTATAGGTATTTTACTTTTAAAATCTACTAAGTTAACGATAATAACTATAATTTAGTTTTGAAACAAAATCTATTACAGTTTCACAATAAGCATTCTATCTTCAGAACAACAAAGATTAATTAACACAGTAGCCAAAGCACTGTTAAGTCTTCGAAGGTGATCTTTTCAGTGAGAAGCATAAAGACACAGAAACTATTACTATTTGTAACTTTTGAACAATCAGGTAGTTTACCAAAAAATGGTTTTAATAATTATCTCTTAATCCCAATGTTTATAGAGAATAGGGAAACAAAAATGCAAAATCTCAAAACGTGGAACTTCAGATGAAGATTTGGGACTAAATTCAGATTAAGAGGCAACTTTGCACCCATCCAGCTGGACCTCGCTGATTTTCAAAAGACTGCATAAAAATTAGGTAGTGATTTTTCTCATAATATGCACCTGTAGGTTCCTTTTCTTTAAAGGTAATTTCAAATATCCTATAATTCAACTTTTCCTTTATTTTGAAATTTAATTATCTTTTGCTCTGAGATGTAGATCAATCACTACAACCTTAAATATAGGGTTTAAATAGCATCAATAATATAGTCAACAGAAAAGTTATTCTATAAAAGTTTTACTGTCTTAATCATGTACTGAATTATGTCAGATACTGTGATACATACATGTAAAATATGATATAGGCCAGCTGTTCCCAAATGCCAATCTGGATTCTATGCTAGTCTTCAGTACAATGAGAAAAGGAAAGATAAATTTAAGTTATGTGAATATAAGGTTGCTAGTTGTCTTTTTTCAGCAAGATTGTCCTTTTCTCCGAACATGCCCCTTCCAATACTAAAACAGTTTTTCTTTTGTCAATGCAATGTTTAACTTCTTACTTCGTCAATCAACTAGTATCCCTTTATTGATGTATATACATTGTGTCTGAAATCTTCTGGACTGTGAGATCCAATAACCTTGGAAAGTCTAGGATTTTAAGAAATGGTTATAAAATAGAGACCATAATAAACACTACAACTGCAGAAGAGAGAGAAGCAAAAATATTTCCAAGTGAAATCATTAAGACTTGGACTGATTAACAACGCGGTAAGAGAAAAAACAGGCAATGGACCAAATGATCAGAAAGTCAGTAGTATCATTATTAGAAGCAGTAAAGTTGAGAGGCAGACTACTTTTGGAATACACGGTACACACTAGAAACTGGTCTGACGTTGCCAATGAGACACATAAATAGAAATGTGTTGTAAGAGCCACCGGCGTAGAGGTGACATTTGAGAAAACGAATGAATGAACTGAATGAGAGAAAACAGCCAAAGGTCACCTTTAACAGCTAAGAGGAAAACAGCATAAGGAAAAAAAGAAAAAGATACAGTAAAACAAAAATAGCAGAATAAATGGCAGTCTAGGAAAGATAAAATTCCCCAAAAGGAAAAATAAACATTTCCACAGCACCACACTTTCCACCACCACAAAGATTTGTAAAAACTAAAAAAATGTATGGAGGAATAAGGTCTCAACTTGTCCTACTGAATGTCTTCTGTTTTCCTCACTCAGGACTAACCAGACTAATACATCTTTTGTTAGATTTGGTGGTGTAACAGTGAAGTGCCAAAACAGTCTAACTACTCTCTGGAAGGTATAATTAGACATTTAAAGGGCACCAACAATACTTAAACATGTTTAAGACTGCTTATGTTCCTGAGAACCAAAGTTGCAGAACCTAAACCCATGGCAGCCCTATCACAGCATTATCTTTTGAGATATACAAAGGAAACTCCTTAAATGTATCATATTATCATGAATTTTAAAAAGACGATCAGCAAAAATCTAGTCAAACAACACTGTACTAATTCTCCATAACATCAAAGAAGTATAGCTGGAAAACAGGTAACGTTTCTTTTAAGTAAAAACACACTAAACTTACATGTCTGTCCGGAGACTGGCACTTCTGTCCCGAGACTGGCACTAAGTGTTTATAACAATCTTTTCTAAAATTCAGAGCTGTTATTAGCCAGTAGTGACAGACTGAGATTCAATATGACTACTCTATTTCCCCCCAAAATTAGAAAAGTGAAGAAAGGGGTGCAGAAAATGAAAATAAAGACCAGGCACGGTAATCCCAGCACTTCGGGAGGCTGAGGCAGGTGGATCATCTGAGGTCAGGAGTTTGAGACCAGCCTGGCCAACATGATGAAACCCTGGTCTCTACTAAAAATACAACAATTAGCTGCTCATGGTGGCGGGTGCCTGTAATCCCAGCTCCTCAGGAGGCTGAGGTGGAATCGCTTGAACCCAGGAGGCAGAGGTTGCAGCAAGCTGAGATCGCGCCACTGCACTCCAACCTGGGTGACACAGTGAGACTCCATCTCAAAAAAAAAAAAAAAAACACACACACAAGAGAGAGAATTAAAATACAATTTTATAACTGGAAAAGACCTTAAGATCACCATCTACTGTCTTTTCTTTGCCTTTAGTGGAAAAGGCCACTTAAAGCACCCCCCCTCCAAAGGTCATTAAGAACTCACCAGCTGAGAAAAAAAAGACGAGAAAATAAAGATTTAGTATTACATATCTCAATTCACTACAGTTATGAAGAAAATGAAAATATACTTCCTACCTTCAATGCATCGTGAAAGACTGGAACACCTGGGTGGTATGTGCAAGCATCTGCAGAAAACAGAAGAAAAAAAAGTACCACTCTTTTTACAATGAAGAAAAATATATATATGATCATCTCCTTAAGGTGTTAACCTTTAATCCTTTTACCAAACGCAGGTACTTTAAAAAGGTACAAATGACCGAGTTTGATGCGCAGCACAAAGTGTACTATATTAAAATAAGTAATTCTAATTCAAGAGTATGATGACTAAAGATAAAAATGCAGAATTCTTTATGTGTAACAATTATATTTTATATTCCCTTAATCTTGGTAGTAAAATTTGTTTAGTACCAAAACTTCAAACCCCCAAATTTTGACCAGCGTTTTTCAAATCTGCTTTTACAAATATACTATCAAACTTGAAGTATTCTTGCGTGCATTAATCCATAAAGGTTTCACAAGAGATTTCCTAAAAGGCATTTTGTAATAACAGGCTCAAGATTTTAAATACTGTAAAGATTTTTTGCAGTATCTAATTGCTAATTTAACTTTCCTAGACAGCAGTCAATTCCTAGCTACAAACCTCACTAAAAAGACGACTAGAGCGCCTCTGCCCGCCCCCCCTCCCCCTCCCCACACCGTCTGGGAAGTGAGGAGGAGCGTCTCTGCCCGGCCGCTGTGCAACCTTCCAAGTGTGAAGTGACAGCCGTGTGTGTGATATTTCTGCCTTCCCCAAGTGTGAATTTTCGACATTAAAGTTTACTTTTTAATTAAAAAAAAAAAAAGTCGTCTAGGCCGGCCCGGTGGCTCACGCCTGTAATTCCAGCACTTTGGGAGGCTGAGGTGGGCAGATCACCTAAGGTTAGGAGTTTGAGACCGGCCTAGCCAACATGGTGAAACCCCTTGTCTACTAAAAAATACAAAAATTAGTCGGGCGTGGTAGTGCATGCCTGTAGTCGGAAGGCTGAGGCAGGAGAATTGCTTGAACTTGGGAAGCAGAGTTTGCAGGGAGTCAAGATCAGGCCACTGCACTCCAGCCTAGGCAACAGAGCAAGACTCCATCTTAAAAACAAACTCACTCTGAAGTTCTACAGCCTATTTTCAAGATTCTCACTGGATGTTATTCTGTACTTCCCTCCCCACTACACCATCAATCTTTACTTCTCTTATGTAAAGGGGTTTATTACAATTTGTGTCGGGAACAGGCCCCCAAATCTGGCTATTAACTGGCCCCAAAACTGGCCATAAACAAAATCTCTGCTGCATTGTGACATGCTTGTGACACCCTTGATGCCCAGGCTAGAAGGTCGTGGGTTTACCTGAATGGGGGCAAAGAACCCCTGGCCCACCCAGGGCGGAAAACCGCTTAAGGCGTTCTTAAACCACAAACAATAGCATGAGCGATCTGTGCCTTAAGGACACGTTCATGCTGCAGACACCTACCCAGAGCCCATCCCTTTATTTCCGGTAAGGAATACTTTCAGTAAATGTTATGATTGGCTTGCTGTCAATAGATACGTGGGTAAATCTCTGTTCGAGGCTCTCAGCTCTGAAGGCTAAGAGACCCCTGATTTCCCACTCCACACTCTGTATTTCTGTGTGTGTGTCTTTAATTCCTCTAGTGCCACCAGGTTAGGGTATCCACGACTGAGCTGGTCTCAGCAATTTGCAAGATGGAGTACCGTATTTTTAAAAATCAGGTTAACAGTCAGCTTCATCCCTCCGCAATCTGCTTATAAGACTATCTTTCAACCTTTCAATTCTATTTAGCTTTCAATGCTCTACAACAACCTTGTCCAACATGCCACCCCAGACAACTCTGAATGTAGCCCAACACAAATTCGTAAACTTTCTTAAAACATTATGAATTTTTTTTCTGTTTTTGTTTTCTTTTAAGCTCATCAGCTATCATTAGTGTTAGTGTATATTCATGTGTGGTCCAACTACTCTTCTTCCAATGTGGCCCAGATAATTCTTCTTTTTCCAATGTTGCCCAGGGAAGCCAAAACATTGGGCACCCTTGCTCTACCACTTGATTCCTGGTGCTGCCTCAAAATAATTCATTAATGGTGCTCACAGAAATCTCCCCGCTCCGTTATTAGCCAGTATTGCTTCCTTAGTAACCATGTGCTGCATAGATACCAGCTAATGTAGAAAGTGTTAGAGGTCTCTTCCTGATACAGTAAGTAAACCCGTGGATCAGAAAGATGTTATTAATTAAGGGTAGCTGTGGAATTAAGGGCCGAAAAAGGAGGCTGGAAGTAGAAAAGGATACGCAAAAGGACATGAATTTGAGAGAGGAATGGAAGCAGAGAATAGATTCAGTATTTTCAAACACTAAACTTAAACATAAAACGCACAACGTATAACAGAGTCAGAGGCATAAAATGTCACAATAATAGTCAATTTTGGCAGCATGGCAGCAGGAATGAGTCAGATCTGAACCATACAACTAGTATGAACACAATTTGAAAGCCACTGCTTTCAAAAACAAGAAGTAACAAGCAAATGGGCATTCATAATTTCTTTAATGTCCATCCTTTCTTTATCAGTTTTAAGAGTTTTGGTAAAATTAATGTTTTATGGGTGAGAAGCTACAACACAGTAGTAGTGGTTAAGTGTCCAGGGCTTCTAACATTGGGTCTGACCCTGGCTAAATTTCTCACTGAGCTGCTCGCTAATAGTTCCCTCAGTTTTCCTTGTATACGTCGATTAAATAAAATACTGTTTGTGAAGCTGTGTTTATTAAAGAATAAGTGTTTAACCTATGTAAGTTACCAACTGTGTCTTCCTTAAACACTCTTTAACTTGCGTTAAAAATTTAAACGTTCTATCAGCCTAAAAGGGAGTCTAATTTCTGTCCCCAGGAGGAAAAATAAATCATGAGACTAAGTCAACAAGCATGGTAATTATGCCATAGCACCAAGAAAAAAAAGGATTTATTGTAGATTAAGAAATATTTAAAGATAACAGATCTAGCATCTGGCTTACGCAAAATGTAACTTGCTTGTGTATTTACCTCTTTTAACTTACTTCCGTCAACTGTACAAAGCCAAACCTCTTCCTAAAAAACCTCCTAACCAACCTTGTAGTTTTTGTCTCCTACTCCGTATCTCCATTTTCTTCTCCTTCCATTCACTCAATTTACTTGACAAATTTATTCTAAGTCTCTTTAAAAACCGTCATTTCGCAAAAGTAAATATACTTTTAGCGATCTTATTTAAATTTCTCTGCTGTAACTGATACTGCTGACCACCCAATTTTTGAGACAGTTTTCCTGGTCGCTTTGTTTCCTAGGCACTGCAACAATTCACAAATGGATACAGACTTCCAACAAATGACTATCTCCCCTGAACTTTACTCTCCCATAAGCAAAGCGTCAGGCTTTCTCCTGTATTCTATATAAAAGCAGAATATCTGCAGACATAAGTGCAATTAATTTTTTACATAGGCTGCCAACACCAAAGGGCTTTAAAATCACTTCTCGATTTTGTCATCCACTGAAATCTCACAATTTTCCTCTTGAGTAGCATCATATTTGCATCATAAAAATGTCAGTGGCGGTAACTTGAGTATTGCATAGGTTGGATTTTCCTTTTCCTTAAAACCCTGTATCAATGGTCTTATTTTAAATAGCGCCATTAATTTACCTGTGTTCCAAAAATAAGTATTTCAAACATCTCAGAGGTGAAGAGTTCAAAAGGCATCAGTTTTCATCTCCTCCACAATAACGAAGGATCTTATTAATACTACCTCATTGAACTGAGCTTCTCTATCAAAAGGGTCTAAGTAACACGGCATGCGTCCCAGGGTTGTTATGAAGATTAAATAAGATGATAAAGCGATAATGTCTGGCATGCAGAAAACATAAACTAAATGCTAATTCAATCTGAAAACGTGTTGTCACTTCTCACAATACGCAAGGAATCATCTTCCTTATCAATCAAAACTTCAATTCACTGATCACTTCCCGTCCTTCATCTAATAGTCATTTTCGCTTTGGATCCTTAGCTCGACATCTAGGTGCTGCAGATGACATTCGCTCATTTTATAGTGGAGTCAGCATGGTAGTAAAACGTGGAGGCCACAAGAACAACCAACAAATGCCGCTAGTAAGAAAAAGATAACTAACGTACCACCAGGATGAACCTATCAAAACAGCGTAAAGATACAGAGTATTGTCCCTTATCAAGAACACTTGTAAGAGGTTTGTAACAGCGGATCGACTGAACACAAACTTCTACAAGGAAGAGCTTACATGCTAGGGCAACCCGCTGCTCATCCCGGCCACCTCCCCCTCTCGCGCAGGCAATCACAGCCAACACTACTTGGGGAGCTACAAAGCAAGCTCACCAGCACCTCGTTAACTTTTGCTTCCCCGAGGAGAAAGGTGTTCGTTCTAAATTCCAGGCGACTTAAAAGGAGTGAGGGGACGACGGGGGAAACACGTGGATCCAGAGATGCGTCTCTCTCCGCAGTGGCAGAGGTCAGGCGCCCGGCCCGGGCGCTCGCCAAGGGAACGCGGCGCACCAGAGGGGCGGCCGGCGGGCTGTGCGGGCGGTCAAGGGAGGCCCAGTAGGGGCATGGAACTGGGGCCGCGCGAGGACGGCTGCAGGAGATCCGCGGGCACCCTCGGGCCCAAAGGGCCTCCCCCACTGACGAGGTAGAGAGGGGCGGGAGGGCTGGCGGCGCGTTCCTCTTACCGTCGGAATTGGTCTCGGGATCGAAGCGCTGACCGCAGCCCCGGTTGTAGCACAGCAAGGCCATTTTCTTTTCCCACCGTCACAGGCAAGGCCCAAGCACCGGGAACGGCAAGAGGACACCTTAGCCACTCCCGTGTCGCTAGCACCGGTCTGACGACTGAGGCGGCTACTGGCTTCCGGAAACGATCTGTTGCGTTTCAGGAACCTTCGCGAATTTTCCGGTCGCGCAGGCGCAGAGGAAACGGGAAGAGGCGGAGGTAGCTGCGGGAGGCCGGCACTAGCCCCAGCCGCCATAGGTTGGGCTACTGCTGGTAGCAACTGGGGGTCGGAAGTGGAGCCCAGACAATAACGGAAGATAAATGTACCGGGCAGAAAATGAAGGTGTCCAAGAGACTGGTAGCTCTCTTCTGACTTCCTCAGTGCTCACTGGCTGTGGGTCTCACCCGCAGCAAAGTGGCCGCCCCGCCCTCACATCCCCTGCGACCCAGCACCCTTCTTTTCTTGCCTTGAGGCTGCGCCTTAGACAGCCCGGTGGGTATCTGTTTACCCCTTAGCTGTGCACACTAAGTGCACAATCGTACGGTGTTTCCAAATCCTCAGGATAGACGTGTGAGCTTAGTAAATGAGGGGAGGAAGAGCGGACGAACCTCTCCGTGTGTCTGTGTTTCGGTGTCCTCATCTCAGGAGCAATTTTAGTAACAGTTGCGGTCACATTACTTTCAAAATACAAAAAAAGTAAAAATTAGAGTAGCAAAGAAAATTATGGATTTGATGCTGTGCCAGAATTGATCACAATTGCTCTAAGGCCCTGGGGTAATTGTTAATATTTCATATGAGCCTCCACTTAAGCGATTTATCAATACTCAGTACTCCACCTTTGGAACAGCTAGTAAAACTTTCAAGTGCATTATAAAAAGTACAGTAATGCCTTGGCTTCAAATTGCATATTTCCCAAACATGGGGCGTTTGCAAGAAAAGCAAACACTTTTTGGTAACATATTCTGAAGTATCTTAAAATAAGATCAGTAGCATGTAAGTAAACCTAAAAATCTATACACTGTTTCCATTGATCTCAAGATTATTTAGAGATCTGCTCACCTCCTCCTACCCCTGAAGACTTTTTAGTTTTTCATATTCTGCTTCTCTTCTTCTACCTAGAAGTATTAAATTTTCATATTGCAATCCAAACATAGATAGATATGTTTTCTTCTTCATTTAACCTAAAGTGAATATTTTTCTGTTTGGTTTCATAATCATTGTTACAAATGACGGAGTATTCTGTTGAATAAATGCACGGTAATTTAACCTTTCTCCAACTTTATTATATGTAAGTTACAATGATCATCTTGTGTATGTTTTTCCTATTTCAAATTTCCCCCTTTAGGAAAATTTTTGGAAAGCGACAGTTCTGGGGTAAAGGGCATAAGCCTTTTTAAATAACTTTTAAGAGTGTGAAGATGTATAGAGCCAATTGCTTTCCAAAAGGTGGTACCAATTTACAGTTTCACCAGCTGTGAATGTAAGTAATAGACCGTAGAAATTAATCATACATAATTGGAAATGAATAAGTGGAGAGCTCTAAAAAGTTTTAGTTGTGACCAAATCTGTTGTCTTGAGTATCCTAGTATCAACGCAACATTGCCAGGATTGTTAGTGAACTAAACCTTTTAAATAATTTTAATGTTTATTTCTAGTTTTTCATCTGAAGCATTTTACAATCAGAATATAATTGCTTATGGTAGATAATTTGGAAAATGAAGAAGTATACTAAGAACAAAGTCAGCGATAATTCCACCACCCAGCAATAAGCACTGAATGGCTAAAATAACTCTTCGGTAAATTTATTTTCAGTGTTTCCTATCACCCCAAGCATTTGTAGGTATATATGTTTAAAAAGAGTCATATTATATATAGGAGTTTGTGTTCCTCCCTTGGGTATTTTGAGAAACTATAAAATTAAATCATTCTTATGATTAAGAAAAACAGTGATACAGCAACAGCCTGTTTCAATCCCACCTCCACTTACATTTCCGTTCCAACACTTCAGTGCTGACTACCACCCACTGTTTGAAAAACTTTCTGGCATTTACGTGTATATTTTATGTACACTTTGAGTATATCTTCCCTCCCTTCTTTACCCACATACATATCAAAATATGCTTTAACTTTGACTATCTTGTTATTAACAAAAGACTTAAATAAATATGTTAACATAAAACAATTGTCAATTATTCTTGGTGCAAAGTGGATGTTTATCATAGTACTTTCTTTTTCTGCATTTAAAAATATTTCCTAAAAAAATTAAGTTAAGTTAAATAAGCTCCGTTATCTTGGGCTGGGTGCTGTGGCTTATGGCTGTAATCCCAGTACTTGGGAGGCCAAAGTAGGTGGATCACCTGAGGTCAGAAGTTTGAGACCAGCCTGACCAACATGACGAAACCCTGTCTCTACTAAAAATACAAAAAAATTAGTCGGGTATAGTGGCGCATGTAACCCCAGCTCCTCGGGAGGCGGAGGCAAGAGAATCGCTTGAACCTGGGAGGCAGAGGTTGCAAGGAGCTGAGATCACGCCATTGCATTCCAGCCTGGGTAACAAGAGCAAAACTATATCTCAAATAATAATGTTATAATAATAATAATAATAAAGTTCCATTATCTTAAAAACGATTGTAGATATGATGTGTATGTATCTATGTAAGTGTATAAAATAATATTTGAAAAGACCATTAATCTTTTATAATAATGGCTATGTATAAAGTCAAGGATGAGCTTAAAGGAGTAAAGTTAATATTTTATTTTATACTCTTAGACTTTTTTGAAAATATAAATACATATTCATTTTTGATATAGTTAACGTAAAGAGGACAAAAAACCAACTTTTCAATGACTGTTTTTATTTGGTCTACTTTATACTTAGAAAGATATGAAAATTTCATCCATTATTATTGTGCTTTGAGCAGTTTGTGGTTTATGTATTTTGAATATGTATTATTCATCCTATAACGATGCATGTCTTTTATATTTACATAGTTTATGTTTTTAATATAAAAGACCTTTTTTGTATCATTTTGTATTTTTGCCTTGAAATCTACCTTGTTATTGATGCTTCAACTTTTGCTATGTTTCTCTTTGCTTTTGCCTAATAGACCTCACCCTATCCATTTATATTTAACCTGTGTAATCTTGTTTTGGGCATATCTGCCATAAGCAGTAGATAGATTTCATCTTGTTTTTCTTTTTTGAACTCAAATCTGAGAATCTTTTTGTTTTACAGAGAAGCTTAACCTTTTTTTTTCCTGTTAATGCTTGAAAGTTCAGGTGCCAAAGTGGCCCAGAACTTATTAATGGTTTTGTAAGTCAATTAGCGTCAATAAGCCTGAGTTTTCTTATCTGTAAAACATTGATAATAGAGTGCTGTGAAGATTAAGTTAAACAATGTATGTGAAACATACAGTTTAGTGTAAGCACTGAATATTAATTTCACAAAAGTTTAGCAATGAGAACGGTCAACTAAGATGTTTGGTTATTTCACTTTTCCCTTTTGTATGCAGTTGTGTCTGCTTCCTTGTTTTTATTTTATTCTATTTTCTAAGTAAAGCATGTGCTTGCTTTTTTATTTTGTCCACGATTTATTTTACATATACATATAGGTTTTCATTTATTTCAGCGGGTATTAAGTAGTTAATGTGTGTTGGTACATTAGATGCAGGATACGGTTGTGAACCGAAGTGACATTTTACCTGTCTTCATTGTATTTGAATTTTATAAGAAAGATGTGAATCAAACATTCCCAATTATGAATTCAATCACGGATAATTGCCATAATTGCTATGAATGAAAAGTATGTTATTCTAAGTTAGTGGAGATGGGAATTTGCCTAATCTTGAGTTGGGGGTGCAGGCATAGGTGTTAGTCTAAACAGAAGTCCTGCAATGGGAGGTAGTGTAATATTAAAGAAAGCACAGAGTCATTGAGATAAACCAATGCTCAGAAAGAAGGGATGCCAGATGTATTAGGACATTCTTGCATTGCTATAAAGAAATACCCAACACTGGATAATTTATAAGAAAAGAGGCTTAATTGGCTTACATTTCTGCAGGCTGTCCAGGAGGGGCTCAGGAGACTTTAACTCATGGCAGAAGGCAAAGTGGGAGCTTGTACTTCACACGAGTAAATGCAGGAGCAAGTGGTAGGGGAGGTGCCACATACTTTTAAATGACCAGATCTCATGTGAACTCAACTGGAGAGCTCACTCGTAACCCAGGGGATGGCCCAAGCCATTCATGAGAGATAACACCCCCATGACCCAAACACCTCCCACCAGGCCCCATCTCCAAGATTGGGGATTATATTTCAACATGAGATTTGGGCAGGGACAAATATCCAAACTATATAATTCTTCTCCTGGCCCCTCCCAAATCTCATGTCCTCACATTGCAAAATAGAATCATACTCTCTCAGCAGTCCCCCAAAATCTTGACCTTTGCCAGATTTAACTCAAAAGTCCAAAGTTTCATCTGAGACAAGACAAATCCCTTCCACCTATGAGCCTGTAAAATAAACAAGTTAGTTACTTCCAAGATACAATGGATGTATAGGCATTGAGTAAACATTCCCATTCCAAAAGGGAGAAATTGGCTAAAAGAAAGGGGCTACAGGCTCCATGCAAGTCAAAACCCAAGCAGGCAGTCATTAAATCTTAAAGCTCCAATGTAATCCCCTTTGACTCCATGTTCCACATCCAGGGCACACTGGTGCAAGGGGAGGACTCCCAAGGCCTTGGGCAGCTCTGCCCCTATACCTTTGCAGAGTACAGCTCCCCCAACTGCTCTCATGGACTGGGGTTGAGTGCCTGTGGATTTTCCAGGTACAGAGTATAGACTGCTGGTAGATCTACCATTCTCATGTCTGAAGAATGGTGGCCCCCTTCTCACAGTTCCATTAGGCAGTGCTCATTAGAGACTTTGTATGGGGGCTCCAGCCCCATATTTCCCCTCCACTTTGCCCTAGTAGAAGTTGTCTGTGAGGACTCTGCCCCTGCAGCAGGCTTCTGCATGGACATCCAGGCTTTTTCATGCATCCTCTGAAACCTACACAGAGGCTTCCAAGCCTCAACTCTGGCACTC